CGGCGGATGTGACAGGTCGACAGGGGATGCTTACTTTTCCTAGGCACTCGATTCTACCTCTTGAATATCCAGGAGTCCGAGCTTTTCTACCCTGTTTACAGATTTGTATTGTTTGTAGATTTTATATCGATCACTGCTCGTTATCCTCACCTACGTTGACTCGATACATCCGAGTTAACATGAAATAAAAGATACCACAGTCTGCCACATCTGTTTCATATTTGGATGGTTTACTGACCATAGACGAGCCAACTAACTACTAAATTCTATGAAAACGAGATGATTTTTGCATAGCTTAATTTTTGCGTAGTTTTCCATCGTCAACTTTCCTTGTTTATGTAGTAATATCCCGATTTCAGTAGCATATGGTGTTAACGTCTCCCAACTAATTCAAGAGCATGCTCTGAGTATGACCAGTTTTTAAACCGAGGTAGGCTACTCACACATGAGTCGATGTTACAAGGATGTCAACAACATTGTTCAAAGTCAGCATTTTGTAAATTCTATGGTCGCTATTATGACCTTATTAGTAAATATAACCTGTCGTTGGGTCTCAGTTTAGCTGACTCTGTTTTTATACTGAATTTGACTGCGGAATGTTCCGTATACCTGATCAATACATATGGCTCACGATGGGTGTGACCTGTTATCATGGGATGCGCACTCCTCCAAGGCACCTGATACCACCTAAAATTTCCGGGGGTCCGTGTTTTATGCCCTCTTCACAGATTTGTATTGTTTATAGACGTTTTTTTTAGATCGATCACTGTTCATGATCATCACTTGTTTTCATATTAGGTAAAGGCACAACGAATTATTTTGACACATGCAGTGAGACCTTAAATTGCTAATGCTCAAACATAACTGCTCTTTTCAGGTAGTTCGAACTTTACATCACAGATAAGGGCTTACTTGAAAAAAAAATGTTTATCATTATGAAATAACAATGAAATAAATCATAAAATAAGTAACTTCAATGAATAACAATTTTCTATTTAATTGATTGATAGAAAATTTTAATGGGTAAATAAATTAAGAAATGAAAATACGGATGTATTAGGGATCATGCAAATTATGTAATAAACATTTCTTTAAACACTGTTTCGATATATACATATTATAATAGAAAAATAATGAGATTTGGGTAAGGCACAGTGGCATCATACATTGAATGCAAAATACTAAAAGTTGCTTTTAAACTAACACATTGATATTTTTAAATTAATTTTAAAAACTCAGTCAATCACCAGAAATTCTTGTTAGAGAAAAAAAAACTTCAACGAAATAGAAATTATGGACTCGAAAATATCATACTGATCAGACACGTCCCCATTATATGCTTTGCTGTAATTGCTTTCACCTGTTTGCAATTTCCTGAAAAGTACATATTGCTATGGTACTATTCTAAGACAACTTTTGTGTGTTATCGGACTCATTCCAGGATAACACATAAAGTATATCATTATTGACAGAAAAATAATATACGATCCAGTACTTGTGGTGAAATTGATGTTTTTAAAATGATGTGAATTGTAATCATCATTTTAAAAAAACATCAATTTCACCACAAGTACTGGATCGTATATTATTTTTCTGTCAATAATGATACATGTCATCTTTGTCTATAAGAGTTTATAGATTAATGGAGATTTTTAATTTCTGTTTTTTCCCAATGAAACAAAATTCATATTGACAGGGAAACACATGATCGAGTGAATCTAACGGGCAATTGATTTCAAAATAACATATCAAGAAATTTTGTTAATAATTCATTTTGATGACCTCATTTGAATTTTCCTTTTCTTTTGGGGAGGTAATATTCTTATTGGTAGGTTCGATTTTAATACATGTATGTAGAAAACGAACAGTATTCAAGCTCAAAGGTCCATTCAACAATACAAATCAGAAGCAGAGCAAAACGGACCCTTAAAACATTAGAGGTGGGTCAGGTGCCATGGAAGATTGAGCATCCCCTGTCGACCGGTCAAACCCGCCGTGTGCTCCTTGTCATGATCAGGAAAAACGGAAAAATCCTTTCTCAATTCAGTGTGTAAATAATGGCCTAACAAGAAGCATGAAAACCGTTAGTTAGCATTTGATTTAATGATATATTTCAACATTTAACAAACGAATAAACAATATATCAGTCATATTCTCTTTGCTAATACAATTAAGTTACAATTTATATTTAAATTATGTTTTTCCCCAAATATTTCAATATCGGCGAAACCTCACCGTAGGTAAGTCGGTTGAGCGCTCACTCCGTGATCGGAAGGTTGTGGGTTCAAACCCCGGACGCAACTGGACTGAGTATATAAAAACAAGTAGTAACAGTTCCTTCGCCAAGCGCTCGGTACTATGAAGTAAAAAAGTTGCGGGTCTTTTGGATGAAACCTTAAAAAATCTAAGGCTCTGTGTCACGACAGGCGTTGGCACGATAAAGAACCCTCATTGTTTAATGCCCCGAGTGCCGGGTAAAGATCTGAATGTGAAGCCCTTCTTGGTGAAGTCCCTATATATACTGTCAATGCATTCCATTACATTGGAAAAAAAATGTGAAGCATGTCTGCTCAAATTACAAATTCCTTTAAAAAGTATTCTTGAAGGAAAGTAAGTCTGAAGTAAACTGGTAAGCCCTATATAAATTTTTAAACCGGTCAAGATATTTGCTTTTAAAATGAAATACAAATTTCGTGGTGCATATGCTTTAACACTCTGTTAAGATCTGTTGGAACAAAAATGAAATAAGGAAATTACTATTTGACCTTTGAAACGTAAAAAAAGCATAATAGCAAAACAGTGTTCATAGTGTTTATGTGTTGCTGAAGAAAAAACAATGAAAAAACGGAAAGCACGAAAAATAGAGTTGGGATGCACTGATTATACGTAATTGTTAGTACATTGACATTGAGTAAGAAACTACGCTCCTTTTCATTCTAGATCATTCTAGATAACGAGAAAAATATCTGAAGTCTGTGGATTACAATCCCTGTGGATTTCTCTATTAAAGAAAAGAACATTGGCTAGAATGCAAAAAAATTATATTTTACTATTTCAAACTTTCCGATTCTTCAAAATGCTTGATTTTTTTTTTTGGGGGGGGGGGGGGTATTTGATGTTTAAAGGGATGGTTGGACTCTAAGTTAGTATGCAAACATGTGTTCAATGTTCATGCATGATCTGTAGAAGTTAACATAAAGATGGACATAAAGATCTACATATACAAAATATGTGAGAATAGACTATAACCACTGTAAAAAGAAAGCAATATGAGGTCATTTTCCTGACTTTCTGTTAAAACAGACTAACATTCAAGCCAGGAAATTAAAAAGGAGGAAATCTAGCTCATACAATTTTGAAGTAATAACCTCCTCGAATCAAGGAAAAGCCATGCTGTGCACAGAGATGAGGAGAAAATCTGAGGTCGAATTCCAAAACATGTAATAACATGTAAATAAAGGCTTGAAGCTTTATTACTGATAAAATTAGTTCTTCATAGTATCCTTTTACATCATATAAAATCACACTGACAAAACAGATATGCAAAACATACATGTATTTAAACATGATAGGTCGCGTTTTTATATCGAGTGCAAATTCAGTGTTTATTTTTCGTGTATTGGACCAGGAACTCAAAGTTGAGTACGGGTATAAAGAAAATTATTTAAAATAAAAATACTGGTGAAAACTGATAGGAAAAACAAGGTTATCAACAGTGCAATTAATTAATTTGCTAGAGTTACAAGTATTCCAGACTTGACTTCCATTAAAATCAAATTTTTACAAAGAAATATATGATTTTCTTTTAAAGTTTTCTTCTTAAAAGCAGCAAGGATGAAATTTATCAAATATAACGTTGATTCACCTAGTTTTTAAACATTGGAAAAATATTTGAAGCTCTACCGTTAAATACAAGTGAGATGAGACGGCAGAGATTACAGAAGTAGACGACATTGACTGTATTTACACCGACTTGTGGACGTTTGAATGAAATGCGGGAATTAGACATCATTTGACAATGAGATTTTTCTTAAATGAGTTTTTTAAAGAGATATATTCGGTAAAAAATAACACATTAACATTAGTTTTGAAATGTGACTTCTTCGGGGAAATTGTTTTCTCCCATACTTCAATTTTTTCGAAGTTACGAATTTATCCTTTTTTAAATGAACGCGCTCACTTAAACTTTTTCTACAATTCTTTTAATGTAACAACATAGTATTATCACTTATATAAGGTGTCCCAGGTGATTCTATACTTAAAGGCATGTTCTGCGTGCGATCAGTTTGATACAAAACTAAACAGGGTACTGACATATAAGTAAGCTTTATAAGGGTATCAACTTGTTTTATAGTCAACATTTCGCGAATTCCATTGTCATTGCGATAATGTTGACTTCAAATAGAACCTGTGGTTCTTTATAACGGTTTCCTCCCGCACCCCCCCCCCCCCCCACCCCCACCACCCAAATACACACAGAAAGAGAGAGAAAAAGTTTGTGACTTCATCGTTAAAGGCTGTTTTAAATGCTATCACGTGTTTCATGTAAAGTACAAACTGTACTGGTATTAACTTCCGCCGTGTGTCAGAATAGTTTCATGATAAAACATGGAGTGTCAATGTTGATTAAGAACTCGCTGTGTTCATCCATTCTATCCTCATGATGCTCCATTGTGTAAATCTGATACTTACAATTAGTGGATTTCTTATCTTAATGGATCTTTTCCTAATTCTGTTTTACTCAACTTATGCAAACGCATTAATTGGAGAAAATATATGTAGATCTGAGAGGTAATTGATTCACCAATTAGTCCTTGCAACCAAAGTTTTCATTTTTAGTATTATTCATATTTTTGTCTTTCTTTATAGAGAGAATATTATAATAACTTTTTGTTGTCGGAACTATGAAGAAAGAGATAACATGTGTGTTGGTAAGTTAGATTCCGTCAACAAAAATGTTTACAAAGCTTTCGTAAACTCTTATCAGAGGTTTAAATAAAATGTGTTGCCTGAATGGCTTCTTTAGTATGAATACTTATATTTTGCATATGTATTTAAATTGTTATTTATTTTATCTTCATACTTCTACCTAATTCTTTTCAATATATCCACGGTAATAAAAAGAGTGCAGACCTGGATTCAGGGGCTATAATTGCAGTTTGATTTGTCCTGAAAACTATTATGGTCGTCGATGTCAGAGGAAATGCCAGTGTCACAACTCTGAGTACTGTCACCACGTATGTGGATGTGTGTCAAATCTGTTGGAAAGTTTTGGTAACGCAACGATGGTCCATAATGTCACCGAAAATGAAATTGATACGAGTGTCACTAACCAGACCCTTTTCACAGAACAATGTTTATCTTCAGCAGAAAAAACCACCAAAATAGTGGTCACCACCGCTGGAAACGATATTGGTAATATATCTTGATTTTACAATGAACGAATTATTGAAAAAAAATTATGTTACCAAACTGTCTGTTTGATGATGGAGTAAGGTTCATTTTGTATTAAAGCTGAAAAGTTGATTATTTAACGATTTTGTTTGTTTTACCGAAGACAGTATATCGTTTTCGCGTGAAGAAATCTCTTAAATTTTAACTATTTTGATCGAAGCTGTGAGCTGAAATGCTAGTGTTAGAAATTTGAGTACTCCCACCATGTATTTTGCTTTATGCCAAATTTGTCAGACTGTTTTGGCAACTCAGTATAATAGAACATGATAATGGCGTTGTTTATATTTAACAGAAAATGCCACAGAAATAGAGGCCACTACTAATGTAAAAGACAGTGGTAATTAAATCTTTTGATAAACAAATATTAACTTAAACAAATGTTATGAGAATATTATCTAAGTTTACTTTAACAAAATAACAAAGTTACATTTTATATCTAACTTAATTCCGTAAGATTACATTTCGATATAAGTTACCGCTTATTATCTGCATAAATCATCATCACCTGACATAGATCCAGTATATCAGCACATGGCTTAGTATGCAGCCGATTTGATGTTTTGAATTAATTAATTATTTAGACTAAAATTTTTGTCATTTTTATTGAAGATAATGTATTATCCAAGGGAGAGTATCCAAGTGAGGAAAATGTTCTTTCTTCAAAATCAAAGATTCTAGGAACAAAATAAATAGCCTACAGAGAAATTTTAATCCTGGACAAAATAACGTTACAAAATTTAGGGGGTAGGGTAAATGATTTTTTTTAAAAACCAAATCAAATAACACACAGCTAGCAACTTTTATCTAGATCTGCTAACAAATTATTTTGAAAAAATTAAGGGAATAAAATAACATAACACTGCTTGTTGGTTGCACTACAGCATTAAATTTTGCTATATATTCTTACTAAGAATGCACAACTTTGAACTCGAATTTGTCTTTATTAAACTTTTGAGATGTTTCTTTTTCAGATCTTGTAAAGCAATTCTTTATAAACATCTTAGTACCAAAAAAAACCACATAGCCATGCATACAGCAAGGCACGCAAGTTTGTTTCAGTCGAAGTCAAGCAAGTGCTTGAAAATTAAGTGTAGGCCTAATCATTCCCCACTCAAATACATAATACAAAAATAAAGCACGCCCTAAATTTTGACGAATCTGGTTAATACAGGAAGTTTTTCATTTCATAAAAAATCATCTCCAGTCTCATGCAAAAATGCCCGAATCGGGAGGATAATTCAGGAAATGTTTTGCATCAGCAATGTTTTGATATGAGCCTCAACCGAAGTACTTTTATGACACCTGTATTGTACAATTTGCGCTTAATTCTGGGGTATATGTGGTCTTTAAAATCTTTAATATAGTCCGCGACATTTTTGTACATTTGTACATATAAACTTGATCAACTTGAGAAAATATATGAAATATAGATTCCCCAATTTCTTAAATTAAGCATTACGCTCCACATTTTTTATTTTTTTAAAAATAAATATGAGGTATAACTTTTCCTTTTATAAGGAAGTACATTATCATGTACATTCAAAAGTTCTTAAGGCATAGGAGGCAGATCTTGGAGAGCAAAATTAATTTTGCATGTAAACTTGAATTGACATTTTGACAACCTGAAGACCAACAAAGTAAAACATTAAATCACACTGACAAAACATTAAGTTTGTTCATGATCTTTTTTTCAAATTTTGTTTAGACTTATTTTGGTGAATTCATATAGGCCGAAATCAGCACTCCAAATAGATAAAAACAAGCACATTATTGTGCCAAGAGATCCGTTACATGTATTTTATTGCTCGTGTCATCAAATCACTTAATGATCGAATTCTTAATTATCTCGAATAAATGAAACACATATTTAATAACTTTTTTTCATGTTATATATTGTATGTTATTTGAAGTGTTTAAAGTGTATTTAGAAGCTTTTTAGAAGTGTATTAATTGTATTATTTAGAAGTGTATTGTTGATATAAACGCCTATATAATAAGCTTTTTTGAATATATGTGTATTCGTGGTACACACGCACGTGTTTGTTCAATACTGTAAAGGAAAAGATAATCTTGCACCTTTAAAACATTTCATTGGTGTAAGATAGGAACATAAAGGAATTTGGAAACTGTATGATTGAATGCATAGCTGTCAGCTGTCTACATTCGCATGAATATTCATTAAAGAACAATGTGTTATTTAAACATCGAGAAGTCTTTGTTCTCTTTTATCAAGAAGATTCCACCACTAAGTACGATGAAGAGTATGAAATCCTGAGAACTGTATTCCTTGTGGTGCTGCCTTTTGTGATATTTGTCTGCTTACTACTCTGTTTTGGAATAATTTACAGGTAAAATGGATTCTTTGTGTTTTTCTAAAAGTCTAGCTCAGAGTAACCGAATAAGAACATACTGTACTAATTGTGTTTATGATAAATGCCTTGTAGAAAATGTAATTCCAAAAAGAAACAAGAAATGAAAGGTAAGCTAAAAATTAAAACAATTATCACATATTCCAGGCAAGAAGAACTAACTACAGTGTAGTTCCTTACTTTCGAATTAGTACTTCCAGTTTAGTGCATTTTGAACTTCTTCCACTTTTGGGGTCTGGATTTTCTCATCAGAGTTAAGGGTAAATGCCTTAAGATTAGGCTATAGCATATCAGAGATAATATTCCTACAGGAAAATGTTTTAAAAAAAGAAAGATAATCTTTTTGGGGATTTAAGGGCCGATTCAGGAAAGCAGTCCAGCCTTGAGAGCTATAATTTTATTTCATAACCAAATACCAATTTCATTTCACTTTTGCCAGTCCTATAAACCGCAATCTCTACCCAGAGTTATCGTTCCCGCTACGCTCCACTAATACTGTTGTAGCGAAGCGTAATACGCCCTCTGGTGAGAGATTGTATAAACCGACGTCCCATGTCACAGAAGGTGCTGGCACGAAAAAGATCCATCACTGCTCAATGGCCCTAGTGCCGAGCATAGGTCAAAATTTGCAGCTCTCCACCGGCAAGTGGTTGCGTCTCCATATGAGTGAAAAATTCTCGAGAGGGAACAACAAACAAACATTTCAAATTTTGGTTAAAATGGTATATGTACTAATAGACAAAAGAAATTGATATTTTCAGACAAATAAATAATACAAAACATTATGCAATATGCTTAAATTTCAAGTTATGCAACCACACCTTCCCGGTTTTGCAGATCTTCATAGAAATTTAATAATGACTACTATGTTTAGGATTGACAATCATGGTGATAGATGGACTTTAAAGTACATAAAACAAAGGAATCAAAGAAATCAACCATGGCATGGGATAAGTATTTTAGATCAGTAACTGAAAAATGCCATTGTGTCATAATTTCTGTGTTGAATTAATCTGAATTAAGAATAAAAATCACAATTTAAACATTGTACTCATATAAGCGTAATGACATATTTTCCACCTTAAATTACTTTTATAGAAAAATAAATAAATTTTGAAAATTATAATGATTATAATTTTTAGATTTTATGTTAAGTTTAGTAATAATGACGTGATCACGAATTTAGCATTATTATGTGTGATTGATCGACTGATTGCATGTTCTTTTACGTACCATTCGAGAATTGTTCACTGTTTAGATACATCACCATATACCGTTGAAGGGTTTCAAATTTAGTTTTTGTGTGTGAAGTTTTAGACTGAAATAATTTCCTTAATTGAATCTCTAAAATCTTATATAGACATCAATATTTATATGTAGCTAAAGAAGACCATGTCGGTTACTCACAAATTTTAAAAGATTGCGTCTGTTCTCTAAAATCAAGAAACAGTTTTTTGATTCAGAAATAAAAAAAGTAAGTTAAAGAATTTTGTTGTATTTTTATGCCGTTATATGATTTAATGATAAATATGTAAAGTGTACTATTAAGAAGTGAAAATATTCATCTGAAATGAAATTAACATAATATACAAATTTATTTCACATTAATTTTGTTGTAGTGAATACATGTAATTATTCTCTCATAAGATAATTCAGAGAATAACCTAATACAAATTTAAAAGTGAGGCATTGCAAAGCTCTCTCTCTCTCTTTTAAATTTGTAACTGACAAAAAGGTATCGTTCAATCTGATTTAATTTTGAGTAGGAAACAAATAGGTGAAAAAGATGAACTTACTCGCTACTTAATCTTTGAAAATAATATTTCATTTCTTTTATTTAAAAGACAGTGTTCATAATGCTTTGTATATCACGGAAGAAGGAAACAGAGAAAACAGTGTTCAGAGTAGTGAAGATACGACTGGAGATCCACTCTACGGCACCTGTGAAGATCCTTGTTACAGTACATTAACACTGAGGGTAAATTACAGTCCCATCCAATCTAGTTATCGAGAGGGATCCTCTGAAGAGTTTTCTCCGTACGACTTTATGTATGAAGGAGAGGGAAATATGGCTAGAGTACAAGAAACTCACGATAGTAATTTCTATTTAAATAATGAGAGTGTACAAATGCATATAAACTCAACTCAAAGACTGTATGAAGATCCGTGGACGAGTAATAATTTCAGTAACTCCCTTTTGCGTCACTCAACACAACGTCGGTTTGACCTCATGCCAGCTGATGAATGTTGCAGTGCTTTACAGGGAAAAGAATACGGGCCATACGAGCTGGCATCTAACAACTAAATAGGACAGTTTGGAAATAATTGAAATTTTATTTTATTTTCTGTTTGCAATTCATAATATGCAGGTGTGTCAAGAAACGCTTTTTAGAATACAACTGTTTTCACTTACATGTTAGTACAGATGAAATAAAATGAAAATCCAACATACTTAAAATGACCTTGGTTTCCATAGAAACACGGTTTTCTTGTCATATGAAGGAAAATGGCCGAGATAACGCTGTGTCAAACCCCCTCACGAAAAACCATTTTCGTATATACGCACGCCTTTTTTCATTTTTGTATTTTGAATGTTTAAAACCACCTCTACTCCCCCCCCCCCCCCTAAAAAATCTGGACCCCAATGGTAAATCTTGAATGTAATTAAAAATTTTGATCTTTAGAAAGTTGTTAAGGAAACTTTATTGTGAGATTATGAAATACATATTCATTTGGTGCTTGTTAAATATAGAATAAAATTACTTTACATGTGATATATATTGAAAAAGGTGGGATTAAATAAAAATGTCTTTTTATTTTGATGTTTAAAAATCGCATGCATACAGTCCTGTATTAAGTTCTGATTGGTTTACTTTCTTTGATTTTAATTATTTTTATAACAATTTAAACTTTTATGAAAGGGAATCATCTTAAGAACCATCTATTAGGATATATCAAATTTAAAGCAGAGGACCTTCCATGTGCATAGTCCTAGAATATGGACTGTTACTGTACATCCAAAGTATATTTTACCCAACATCAAACCGCACTAAAACACTATCAAATATACTATAATTGACTATACTTTTTATCCTAGGAAATATTTAGGTGAGTAGGAGGAAATCATCGAGTCATTCCTCTATGAAACAAGGAATCCATAGAAGTAAGACGGAAGAGGGGAGGGGGAATCAAAAGATCTAAAGGCTTCAGATAAGGTACAAATTAAGGAGAAACTAACAGTTAATTTGCAATAAATTTAGAGATTGTATTGCGAATAATAAATATAATGGCAAAATGTGCATGTTTACCTTATATTCTCTACCCCGTTGTGAAGACTGGGTCCCTGGCACCCCTTGCATGTAGAAACTTACTTACTTATTCTCTTCGTCCCCTATGGGACATACTGTAGATTCCTTATTTTACGCGAGTACTTTATATCGTGAAATCGCCCTTACACGTCAAATTGCGAGAACAATAATTCGCGAATAAACGTTTGATTTCAGAACCATAAAAATAAAAGTGAGTAATTTTATTTCGCGAAATTACGCGATAATTAAATCCTCGCATATATTTGGGAATCTACAGTAAAGCTTCAACAAGCTGTCTCTATCTTCCTCTATCCTTTGCCACATACTGTGCCTGTCCCCACGAGTAGTTTCCTCTAGCTCTGATGTTACGGGTAAGAATGTGGCATGCAGGAGTACCATTTTGGAAATATTACGTCATTAATTTGATGCATTTCTCTATTTTAAACAGAAAGAGCCTCAAACTAACCAATTTCAAGGGTTATCTTCCTTAAGAAAATAGTGTCCACAACCGTCGTCCACTTTAATTTTCGGATATGTTGTGTAAAATTCTTTGAAAAATCATATATCTCAAAATCTTTGTGGGCGATGCCTGTGGACAATATTATCTGAAAGAAAATTTCATTGAAAATTGGTGTCTTCTGCAACGTTTTAAGAAAATACGGGAAAATGTACAAGTTTATGACGTCATAATTAGAATTTAGAAGATCTTGTGAGAAAAATGATTTGAATGATCTTTCTGCATGGAATTTCAATGATTCAGGAAGCATGAGTTTTAATTTTTCACACCATTTTCATTTTTAAGAAAAACACAGGGCAAGATTTGTATTGAAACCGTACCTTGTTCTTTGGGGTCTTCAAGAAAATGGACATTACACCATGTTATTCTTCCTCGACAGTCCATAGTATGTTCCATAATAAAAATGGAGGGAGGATCATCCTTCATTTGTTCAATGGAATTGCCGAGGTCCAATTTTAAAGCTAACTTTAACGAATTGTCATTACTTATTGAGGACCATTGTCAGCTACCATGTGTGTTTACAAGAAACACAATTAAAAGAAACCGATAATATAAATATTAAAGACTGTTATATATAACCATTATGCTCCGACTGATAAAGCACCTGATGGTTTTTCTATGGCAAACAAATGAGATATATCTATCTTAATTTATGACCCAAGAAAAATCTAATGAAACCAAATGTTGTGGACCCAAAATAAACTAAAGTTCATGATGTAAACAACTCAGTATACAAAGTACACTATGGTGTCTGTATAGTAATTTTACAAAATTAATCTTTTTTTGTTGAGGAATTCCGTATATAACTTTTATTCAAGTCAGAAACCCCCTGTAAGCCAATTGATCCTTCTAAAAAAAAAAATATAATTTTTACTTTCCATTTTCGGTCATTAGTTTTGTTCCAAAAAGTGCCTTAAATCTTATGAAAGCTTTGCAAACTCTCTCTCAGACTGAGACCTTTTGATTTTGTTCTCTTTTTTGAAATTCATAAACAAAATTGATCTGAAATAATTTGTGTTATTTCGATAATGATAGTAAAGCTACATTGTGAAAAACTTATTAGAAAGAAATAGATATTTTTATTACAATTTGACTAATTTTAATCCTGTAGATGTTGTATTCAAATTGTATTACATAAACAAGTTTTAAACAGATTCTGTAAATTAACAAAGAACGTGTTGAAAACTGTTTTCTTTTGATGTAATATAATCTAATATGTCTAAACTCAATTCAAGCTTTACCCAGGGTATTACGTCATCAAAATTTAGTCAATATATACACGGTTGTTTTCTCGTGATTTGTATTTTTAAAATGATGGTTTCCCGGGGAAATTTTCCTAAAAAAAAAAAAACACCAGCCATTAACATTTAATCGATATGTTTTGAATAATAGGATTTTTGTTTTGCTTTTCTGATGATTGCAAGTTGTTAGTGTATTTCAAAAGACCAGATCATCTAAAGAAGCAGCCAAATATATTATGGATGTGCAAAATCAAAGATGGACAATCAAAAAACAATGGCATGCACACGTTGATAAAAAAGAGTTCAATTGTGAGGTCTGAAGCAAGCTCATGTATTGATTTAAAAATAATCAATTATTACAGATATATGCTAACGATGCCAATATCTTCATCGAAAGATATCAATTTGAGTGATTATTAAAATTGGGAAACTCTTATCACAGATGTCAATTTAAAAAAAAAATAACATACATGTACATGTAGACAGAAATAATAATTTTTGTACATCCTGATGAAAGCGTTTAAATGCTGCTAAATATTGAACATTTCCCCATTCGTACAAGTAATGTTTTCATTTGTTGGTGTGTTATTATATATCATGTTGAAGATACAGATTGTACATTTAATGAATTAAATATATTGATTGTATAGTGACACTAATGATTAATACTACGTTACAACATATTATTGTGTGATTATATACACTGAACTTTACAATCCCCAAATTTATTCCAGATTAGCTGTTTCCTTTTTCCTTAGTTTGAACTTTACTGAAGAATCTGTATTTTCTGATCCCCCTTCTCCTATCGTACTCCTGACGTTTTCGATGATTTCCTCCCACTCCTTTATACATGCATTATATATATAAACAATTAAAACTGGTTTTAGATTAAAATAAATGTACATTACTAACCGTTGACAATAGCCATGTTTTATATTACAAATGCACATCCTTAAAGTGTTTATAACAGTTTGTGATTTATTGGTTTAAAACAAGTGAACTTAAA